CCCTTGCAATGCCGAACCCCGCAGCATTTGCCCCTGCAATGCTAAAATTGCAATAATTTAGCAGCGCAACTACAATGCTATAAAGAAGTTAATTTGGGCTCGGATAGAAATATTATATCTCATGGAATAACGTCTCTAAGATGGGAATGCTCGAAAGAAATAATTTAAAATATATATTATCTAGATGGCAAAAAATGATAAATTCCAAGATTTTCATATATGAATTTCTTAATCTAGAAATATTGAAAATAGATTGATAAAATAATGAGAAATCTTGATTAATATAAATAATATTAGAGTTGGGCCCTTATCTTTCGGAAAATCATAATTTGAGAAAATTCATAATGAGAAATCCGGAGATCAACTAATATATAAAATCGTACGAGAACCTCGATAGATATTACTATTATAAAATCGTATCTAGCATATAGATCTTGAAAGATTTTTTTAGATTTCTATCTCGGATCGCTTCGCAAAGAATCAAAAGGGAGCTCGTAAATCTCCGTAAATAGATATGGCCAACCCATAAATCCTAAAATATTTCGATTATCTGCCCGGGTCTACGTAATCCTCCGATCAATCGCGCCGATATGCAAACAGAGCTAATTCCTACGGAAATTTTAAGATCGTATACGAATCCCGACGACCAAGAAGCCGAGTAATCTAATAGATCCTGAAAGATTCTAGATCTCCATTAGGGGTCTGCCCCGAATCGCTCCACTAACAACCAGAGAGAGAGAAATTCGTATCGCGCGACCCCCCATCCAATCCAATCTCTTATATTATCTACGCAGTGATTCGAGAGAGCGCAAAATCGCTATCCCCAAATATCCCCAATTTAAGAATTATCTATATATTCCATCGAGTAGATAGCTAAAAAGAAATAAATCACGTAAAAAACCGATCTAGAGGCAAAGACCTCGCCACCAAAAATCTCCGAGATTTTTTTTCTCACGCTCCCATACCAAAAATCTAAAATTGAAGAATATCTATTCTGAGGAAGTAACAAATTTCTCCGAGATTTTAAAATGACCATAACTAGTTGCGCCCTAATATTAAGAAATATCTTGCCATGAAAATTATATTTAGCGATTTTCAAAATTTCTAAAATTTCAAAATCAATCTCCATTCATATCGTCTTTCATTTTTTTCGATCGAATTATCATTTTCAATATTTTCTAATATCGATCTATCATTTATATATAATACAATCATATTTAATGAATAAAAAATCATCTTAATCAAGAAATAGATACTGAAAAGGAATGATTTCATAAATCAAAATAAAAAATTGAAGTAATATAGACCTTGTTCTTTCTTATTATTGAAATTTGCCAATTGCAATTAACCCTGGTTGCCTGAGCCACAAGTGTGATCGCCTTTTGATTGCAGGCTTGGCAAGATAACATTATCTAGTCATTCATGGAGATCTCCTTTTGGAGAGATGCGCAGCTCTTAGCCTTAAATATTGCACCAGGAATTTGAGAATGGTTTTGGACCTTTACCGTACATTGCGTGGCAGGTCAGGGCCATAAAGGTCTAAATGGATACCATGAAAGTCATCTGCCATTATGCCCCCTAGATATTGTAAACAATGGCTGTAAAACGAGATTCGGTCAGCTCAGTGTTGGATGCGTTGTCTGTCAGGCGACGTTGACCTCGGCTGACCCCTACATCCCGAGTCTCCGTTTCATCAGAAGCGACTGGCCTGCTAGACGCTCGCAGCCAGCAGCATCATCGCCGAGCCTCAGAGCTATGACGCCGCAATGCTACTTGCAAAGCTTCGCAAAGTATCTGCAAAGAATGAAGCGGTGTCAAAGGCCGTGACGTAAGTCGAAAGTGACAAGGAGCCGGAGAGAGCGCTCGAGGGCTGCCAGAAAACAGCACTTGTCTATGAGTGTGTTGACGAATCTCAAACTGGAGAAGCATCAGCACGCGCCATGCAGTTTTGTCTTTGTCAAGCTATCTGTTGTCCCCCTTCTGCAAACTCACTGCAAACAGGGGCTGGGTTCCATCTGCAGGTCATTCTTGCTTGAGTCTATCGTTTAGGAGCAACCTTCGGCGGCTCACCGAAGACACAAATGTTGATTTTTCAAAGGATTCAGTGCAAGACTGTTGCCGGGTTGGTGGGACTGCGGCTAAGCGAAGCCGGCAAACTTTATAATCAACTTTTGACCATCAAGTAATCAAAAGGTGCAGCTGACAAATAAGGCAAAAACTGCACTTGATCAAGACAGGCCAGCGGACCCTGCCACGAGGTGTCTGCTTCTCGGAGCGCCACGTCTCAATCCTGAACAGTTGGAGCAACAGAAGCTAAGACGTAGAGCTGGTGAGAAAATCATTGGGCCGTTACTTTTGCTGCGATTCCAGCTGTGATTTCACCTGCGTGCAGCTGTGCTAAGCAATGAAATGGTGTTTGAGCGGTCCCAGGAGGTATGCAAAGTTACTGTCATGATTCTGAACACATACCTTTTTTGCCGTCGCACGAACTAAAATGACTTCGGAACCAACGGCTTTTGCAGCACACGAACCGCATGCTGCACACCCCTGGCAAGCACTTCTGTGTTTGAAGGCTTGCGACAAAGCATTTACCGGCAATGCCCAACCCCTCCCTGAGTCTCTGAGCACAACAAAGCAATGAATGGCTTGGTTAACTCTTTGATTGATTGACAGTGTGACCTGCCCGCACTCACCGCACACATGTCCACACAGCGGTTACATCAGCAAATCGTAATGCATGTTGATTCGGTAAGCGTTTGGAAGCATGCGCAGCTTGCGTGTCAGTGGGGACATGTGTGGGTCATATGCTGCGACTCTTTGCAGACGATGAAAAATGATAATGTTTAACTTCTGGCTCGCTCATTCTCCAGGCCCTTCACGCCGAAACGCTCTGCTGCTGCTTGGATTTGCCTCCCGCATTTGCAGAGATAGTTCTAGAGCATACGAACGAGCTTCAAGTCTTATCTCGCGCATGCGAAACAACATGGATAGCCAAAGATCCTTCGCAGCCGGCAGCGCATCTCCGCAAAAATCTGGCACGATGCGGACATGTTCATTCAAGAAAAATTTGGCATGTACAGGAGCTTCCTGCCTGGTTGTTTCCAGCAAAGATGTCGTCCTCCGGGACCAAAGCCACGTTCTCCTGTCATGGATGTCTCTTCTGGCGTCTGCGGGCTGTGACGTGAGTTGCATGCGACTGGAGTGCGGCTGGCCTGAATGAAAGAAAATTGCAGTTCGTGCTCGAACTTTCCCTTGACCCGCGGGATAGAGGCCAGGATCCTCAAGCAAAACAAGCTTGTTGGCAGCAGCGTCAGAAGTCAGAACCGTTTGCACGGAAAAGGCCCTTACTAGCCTCTGGTTAGCTGGGAATGAAAGAATGGAAAATACTATGGTAACTACTATAATGGGTTATATAGAGACAACAGGGTATATATTGGGGTTAGAGAGGATCACGGAAAAAATGGAAACGACTATAATGGGCTATATAGGGACTACTATAAGGATCCATTCCTTCCTTCCTAGCTAACCAAAGGTAAGCTTAGGCTTTGGACGTTCGAATGTCATCTCGGGTGACAGCTTTGGCCTGGAACCAGCTTGCGCTTGAACTGGTCTCGCCGACGTTCTACCAGGGGGGATTATATAGGCATTATATACAAGGGGTATATAGGGGTTTATATTGGTGCTATATAGGGGATACAGGGATATGTTGGGGTCATATTGGGGATATATCGGGATAATGGAAAAGAAAATGGAAACTACTACTCTCCACCAAGATCACCAAGGCCATGACCTGGGAAGCCTTGGCTCCTTTCAATCGTAGCGGCCCCTGGCTGCGACTCCAAGGGCCTGCTACATGGGACTTGGAAGCAGAAGGCCACCTGGAAGTCCAATCCATGGACGCCTTAGCCAAGCAGGTTGCCATGAAGAGAATCGATATGAGCGTCTAAAGCTTTCAGACAAGGAACGATATTTCTGCTTGTTGGAATACGTGAGTTCAAAGCCTGCAAGCAAGCAGGAAGTGTCTGTGATTGCGCACAGGGCAGTACCATGAATAAACGAGTTGGTTCGGAACAGACTGACCAGGCTTGTCTCCCTTCCCCAACCCTTTCCCAACTCATTTTGCTCTGACACATCCCCTCCCTTCCCCGTGGTCCGATGGCCCCGTCGTCAGCATCTCCACTCCCCTCCCTGACCCATCCCGCCCCATCCATTACTAGCTACAGCCAAGAAGGCATGGCACCTATTCAGCAAGGCTTCGTTCCCTAGATTTCTTTCTTTTCAATCAGTTTGCACGGCAACTTGTCGCGTGCATCAGCTCTGCAGCAGGCAAAAGGATGCGATGGGAGCTTTCGCATGTTTGACTGCACACTTGTCATCGGAGCCTAACGGCTGGCCAAGCCTCTCACGTCAGGAGCAGAGCCCTTCGCAATTTTGCAGGAACTATTTGTCTGCCAGAATGCCCAATGCCACAGATTCGCAGTCCTTATGGGCTGTTGCTAAGGTAACGAGATTTCTGATTCTGGAGGACAAACCAGACACGGACATATGAAACAAACTTACATCACCCACGGACAAAAGCACAATTACGAATCAAGGCAGGTGGGAGTAAAGGCACGCGCGGATACCTTTACTGCACAGACGGCTGCGAGAGGATCGAAGACCCGCAATTTGTGATCCGCGGGCATCGACAGACCAGGCATTGAAACTCTTACATTACTGCAATCCCTTTGAGCAGGAAGTAATTGTACTGCAGTTATTGCTCGCAGCCTGCTGAAATGAGTTCCCTGTGAGCTCCATCCATCTGCATGAGGCCCAGGATGGGTCTAGGTCATGCTGCCAGTTACTGAAAAGGATCAGACAGACTGACAATTGACTGACACATGGAACTCTAGGACATGGACGTTGCCTAATTGTTAGTGGGAAGGCATGTGCAAACCAGTGCGAACCTGCAAACACCATCTGCCCGGTGAGGCTTGCGTTCTCGTCAAGGTGTTCCAACAGCCGCTGCACCTGCCACTTGCCTATGGCATGGGAAGTCAGCTAAGACGAGCAGCATCAAATCATGGCCCTGTGGCCATGGTTCCAACATCTTCCAACCCTTTTCCCCGAGCCGAGCCCGCAGGATGTTGCCCGCAATGCATAACTGCAATCAGGCCTCATCCACATCAAAAGTATCGATGATCTTGACCTGAGCGCAGGCTTCAGATCCAATCGGGTTGCAACAGAAAGGCCCTGTTTGACTGTTCTTTGAAGAAAAAACTGGGTGTTGAGGATTCCTGGTGCGCACCTTGGGGATAGCGAACAGCTCCGTCCAGCCACGCTTTGTTCCACGATCCTGAGACAAGCCAGGGGGTCAACAGATTTGCTGAGGGGACTGTGCCATTGCAGAATTTTTGGGCAAGGTGTTTTTCGCCCAAGCACAGTTTAAGCCCCCTGCATCCAGCCCGTAGCCGACAAGCCACAAGTCAGGCCTGGATGGAGGGTGCTCATGGAAAGTCAAAAGCAGTCAAGAAGCAAACCAAGCTCCCGTCAGATTTCTTACCCCAATGATGTCTGCCTGGCCAAGGCCCTTCAAGGGGCTTCTTGTGTGCCCTCTTAGGATGCATCTAAAGCAGATCCTGTTTACATGTACCGTTCAGACACCAGAAATAATGTGCGCCACCAACCCGCAAGGAGGTGCCAGAAGCCCGCCATCTTCCTGCTCCTCCTTCTACATCCTTTTGACTGGCTTCGTGTTTGCGATTCTTGCCCGCAGTAGCTCTCCAAAGTGACAACGATCACGAGGACGGCGCGCGTCAAGTGTGCAGTCCTCCGAATAAACAGCCTTGACATTCTGACAATAACTCCCAAAACCTCCCTTCAAACCTGGTCATCCCTGTGATGCTCCCTTCAGTCCCTGCAACTCACCGTGCAATTTAGAAAACATCTTGCACCCCGCCTTAAGGCTCCAAATAATTTTGCCTCCCCAACCGGAGTGAACATATATCAATTTGGTATTCCGGCATTCAGGGTTCGGATCGACTCGGCGAACCGCAAGAGGTGAGTGGGGGGGCGGCAGGGTTGAGCCGCTGCTGCTGGAGGTGCCCAGCAGTCAGCCTCCAGAAATGAATCGGAAAGCATTCGCAAGGCTATGCTCCACCTTTACGTCCTCACGTGCAATCCATGCAAATCCAGATGCTCTTGTCCACAACCCCTCCCATGCCCCCCTGGAATCTGGTCATGACCCATATGACCCCAACGTTTACCACCACACATCCGTTGTTCCCTGTTCTTTGTTACACAGCCACATTATCTGGAAAGACATCATATAGAACTGGAAGTCATGGCCGAGCGCCCCACCCTAGTCCATCCAGAACTGCATTGGGATCTGCCATGAATTATTCCTAGATGATGGTACTTTTCTTCATGTTGCTAATTTTCCTACTGCTGCATGCGTTTTGTGGGATGCCAAATTCCGTCGGCTGAAAGCCAAGCTTGGAAGTGCAAAGCACCTTGACCATTGTTGCGAGGACGGTCAAAATTAGTACATGTTTGCCAATCTCCATGCATGTGCTCTATCCCTATAGAATGCAGTGCTTCGGCTGGGGCTAGCGATGTGGGGCAAATATCAGGGCCCCCACAGACACCAGCTAAAATCTCAAACTGGCTCTGCTCTGTGCACCTCAGATTGAGACAGGCAGGACAGCTGGTCTGGCGGCGTGGCAGCAGGGCAGTACTTGGCAGCAGTGTTGGCAGAGGTGCGGTGGCACATCGCAAGTGCTGGAATTCAACCGTATGAGCAATCATCCGCATCCATTCCGGCACCTTGCCTCCGGCCACTCTCGCTGGCGCTCTTTGCTGAAAAGACAGACAGTCAAGACCTGGCAGGATTGTGAATGCATTGGGGTGGCGCAGGACCATGAGGTCGCAAGGACGACATACGAACTTTCGGCAGAGCGTGTGGTCCGCGCGCATGCGCGCATAATCCCCTACACACGATTTCTTTACATGATGAGTCTCTTTTTATTCTTTTGGTGGTCACTTGTATCATGGAGACGCCTCTCTTCCGGGGATATGCAGTGGGATGCAAATTTCAGAATTGTGGAAACGGACAGCGCTAGGATGAGCTCAAACAGAAGTTAAGCCCTTTCCCTCACAAGGCTCTGGCATCGTTCTCGGTATGTGTAGCTGACAATCTGGAGAGAAAGAACTGCTTCATCTCCTTTGGCTCGAGCTGCTACGAAAGATTCAGAGCTTCAAACACCGCAATGATGGAGAATCAAACGGTAAAAAGAACATCGAACGTGAAATGGAAGCTAAGGCTTATGCTGTGGTCACGTATGCACCATGTAATTTTCCATTTTGTTGCTTCCATTTGATTCTTCATTATTGAAGGTACTTTCCCTACATCAAGCCCATGCAAACTCTAAGTAGCTCCATATCTTTGATGGAGAGCACTACGAATCAGGGACACACTCTGCAGCACTTTTACAAGAAGCATCTACAGACAACATGTCTGAGTCCTGCATGGTTTTGCCGTTGTCCAGCAGCTCGTCAATGAGCACCACCTGTTCATGGCTTGTGCAGTCGCACAGCGGTCACACTTGGAAATCCCAGCTGCTGGCTGAAGAGAATGTGGCCTTATGCGGCGCTTTGGTCGTGGTGTCGCAGAACTTAGAGCTTGCAACTTCTGGTCCACTGATTTCGACTGAACCTAGCCGGCCCGCATGTACGTAGTGAAGCTTCGGTTGCTTTGCGTGGCCTGACTGGGAGCGCTTCTCCTTGTACGAGGAGGCCTCATAACATCCCAGTTTGTATCTAGCCCACCGCTAGCTGCATGCATCTTCACAATGACCCACCGCTCTGGCGCCTCGATGAAGTAAACAGAGTAAGGTCCTCAATACGACGTCGCTACAGACTGCACGGGAAGGTTTGAGCTGAGATTGCGGCTTATCAGATTCTTGCCTGAGTCCCTATGCAAACATATCCCACATCGTGTCTTGCTGCCACTAGCTTCATGCTTCAACAGTTGGGAATTTGAGAAACAAACTCTGCTGCGCCACACAAAGCTTGCAGCCCAAGCACACAGGTCGGAGAGAAACATGAAAGCACCCTTCAGGATGGCCACTAATACGATGCCTTGGGGCTGCTCTAAACAAACTTTCTTGATGAGCTGTGATAGAACTCTGTGCGCACCCTTCTCAATGCAATCATGAGGTCGCCACGCTCTCCTTTGCACCAGGTCTCAATCCGTCTTGCCGCAATCCGGACACCAGCCTCTTCAAACAACGACTCTAGCCTTCAACTGCTAACGGGACCAGACGCATTGCCTCTATTTCTTCTTTCTTAAGGATCAGTCTGTAATTCTTCTGATCCTTGCAGATTCTTGTGGCTGCACAAGGGCAGGAACGCAACCATGCGGGATGCAAGTGGGTCCTGAAAGTACTTGGACTCTGCCAGGGGTGGCTGCATATTGCGATCGCCTCAAGTCCGATTCTTACTTTGCTGACGCAATGCCTCTCACATCCTCGTTTGGCGATTAAGTAAAGCACGAAGCGGTGCAAGAAATTCCTCGCTGCGAGCCTTAGGCGCGAAGCAGGGATCAGCACAAACTGCTGGGGTACACAAGCGGTGACTTGTTGCTTGGCTTTACAATCCTTGGAAGCATTCCGTCCGTAATCAAGAAGGATGACTGGCTTCCATATCATTTTCGGATCTCATTCCTCACTCCTGGCAGACCTGCCAAGGTCCCGACTAGCGTGTCCTTCAAGACCTCCGTGTGTTCTCGATGTTTCTCAGCCTGACAAGGCCCAGCCGCCCAGCCCACAAGCAGCTTGGTTTGTGCTGACTCGATCACCTCGCAGGCGAGGATATCGCGGAAAACACCTTTCACCTTATTCTCACCAATTCGAAGGAGTCTCAAACCACACTGCCTTAACGTTTCACTCACGGTTTCGCTGCAGCTTCGTCATTGAGCAAATCTGAGCTTGCCGCCAAGGGAGGGACTGGCAAAACTGCAATGTCCTCTTGATCCAGACGCCTTATGGCTTGTGTTGCATCTGAATGCAGCAGGTCACTTCTTTGAAAAATCTTCGAAAGCGGCTACGCGTGCTCCTCTGGGGGCTGCGCTGCACGTCTGCCATTTCGTTGATGCACACATTGGGATGGGCCCTCAGATACTTGCAAGCAACCTTTGTTCATACACAACTATGAAACTGGCTGCAGCCAAGCAGCAGCGCAGTCAGCCACCTGAGCTGAGAACGTCTCAGACGCCAAGGATGCCACTTTGCGCGACAGGTGCTCGCAGATTACCGGTATGCTGCGTAAGCATTGTGCCAAGACTACAGGACGCAATCTTGAACTTCGAGGCAACGACTCTCAAGTCAAGTTCAACCGTTCTTTGACTGGCAGTCTGCAGCGGAGCCGCTCGTCCACAAATTGCTGCTTGTCAGGCAAGGCCTGTTAGGCAAGGGCATGGGAACACCAGTGTCTCGTGGATGCCACGGGCCCGCGCTGTTAGAAGCAAGGATTTCAAAGAAGCTGGCCTGGCATTTCTGGCAGCTGCCATGCTTCTGGGAGCATCGTGCAACACCGAGCAGTAGCGCTATGCGCAACATGCAACATGTGAGAGGCACGGCTCCGCCGTTGAAGGCAGCGGACCTTGAGCACTTCACGCCAAACAGAACCAGCACAGGCGGCTTAGCAGCAAGAAGCATCGACTGTTGAGGTCTTCCTTATGAGGCCTTCTTGCCTTGACGGTAAACACAGCAAAAGCGCCATTTCACATGTTGGATTGATTAGCCCCACGCGTAAACGCTTCGTCGGTCGCCCAGGTGGCTGCATGGGCTTGCCTTGGTTGTCGAACAAGTAGGCAGGGATCTGCGCAGCCCGTCCCACAACATAGATTCCATTACCCCCCGGCATCTGCTGAGTCCTCTCCAGCACGTCTAATTCCGCGCTGGTCTACATCTGCCGAGCCGTGTTGGCTCAGGCACATGATCAACTGCTGTGAGGCACTCGTCAATGCTTGCAACCACTTAAAATTGGCAACTCCCAAATCTTTGGGGAACTGCCAAATGAGGATCTCGCATCCTCATGACAAAAGTTTGCGCTGTCTGAGGTATGCATCCATCTGTGCGGAAGTTCAGACTGTATCACGACGTCTAGGATGCGATCTATCACACTACTGGGCACGCTACTTAGGCTTGCCCCGGGGACTGCCTTTGGGACTGGCAGCCTCCTTTTGTGGAAACAGCTTCACCCTCAGCATGATGCAGTTCCTATCAAGCCCCGCCTTGCCATACAAGCCGGCAGCTGACATCTGTCGAAACCTCAGCAAAAAGCATGGCTGCTCAGCACGGCTGCTAGAACGAGCTTCCTGAGATAGGAGCGCGATGCCCTTCTCTTCCAAGGAATCCCTGTCTGCAGCTTACAAGAAGTCAGTCAACCTCACATGTCATGCGTGTTTTAGCACAACACCCCGAAGTAAAGCTTAGAGCACATGGACATGACATTTCTACCGACGAACTCAGACTCGCTGGCTCTGCACATAAAATCATTGATATGAACGAAGGGTCCATTCTTTAATACGTCGAGGTTACAAAACAAGGCAATGGAGAAACACGCCTGAGACCCAACTACGATGAGACTTTGTCATGTGGACAGGTTTTGGTTGCCAAATGTTGTAAGCGCCATCCATGAAAAGCCCCAGAAACGGCATGTCACAGAAAGATGACAGCTGCTTGATGGCAGCCCTTTTGATTGCCATGCATGTTTCGGCCCCGGAAAATTGGCCTGACCAGCTCTGCTCGATTGGCCGCAATCGCTTCCCAAAAGTCTGCTTTGCCCTTCGCGCTTTTGACATGGCTCTCAATAGAAATGGGCACTTCCCCAAAGCAGTGCAAGAGCTCCAGCGCATCTGACCTTGATCACAGGTGGTGCGCCATGGTCTCTCATGAGAAATCTGGTGCAGAAGGCTTTCAATCAAGCGACAGGGCCGCATCTGCCAAGACCGGATCCATCCACTCCGCTGTTGGCTGCTGATTTTGCTTTCGGGGCGCGAAGCCCATGCCGGCGGTAACTTCAACCCACTCCTCGTAGATGTTCACTTTCACTCGACCACGGGAAACAATCTCATCCATGTAGCCCACATATTTTGTCCTGGACAGGCCGAAAGCACTTCCAGCAATTTGCGGCGTTTGCCACACAGTAACTGGTTCGAAATGCTCTAAATTGACAAAATTGCTTGTAAACCGAGCAGTCCATGGCCAGGGCTTTGCCAAGGAGACCTTCGCCAGGCTCAGCTCGCTGCCTTGCGTGTCGAGTTTCTCCTGAGCAGCGCTTTTTGCAAAAGGCTAAGTTGGCTCACTGTCACTTGGCTTTGCTTTTGGACAGATCTCCTCAGCTTCCGTAAGCTTCTGCTGCAGCTCACTGGACGTAGCTTGACATTGCTCCAGCTCCTGTTGAGCTGCCTGGTGAACAGCTTGGAGTGAGAGCCTAGGGCCTAAGCTTCTTGTTAGGGCTTTGGGTTGATTGGCCCTTGCTATGCCTAGCCCTCTGACTCCGGCCTGCATGTCCTGTTCAGCCCTCTCGGAAACCTTGCGCCAGTTCTCTGCTTGCTGCTTGGTGGACACTCCCTGAAACAGGAGCTCCCTGAAGTTGAGCAGCATCGGTCGTAAGCCCTGCCAGGATCGAGTCAGGCTGCACTGGAATTGCAACACGGGCCCTTGCAATGACTGTACGAGCCTCGTCGTCCTCATCCAGCTCCGCATCGTTTCCAACAAAAAGCCGCTGCATGTAGGTCATCTGCTTCTCATGCTCCCCGATTGTTACCATCTTCATCCGATCTGCTCCTTCTTTCGCTGCCTGACACTTGTGCTTAACATCTGCTTAACTTGCTAGATTTTGCTATGCACCGGTCTATCGGCATCATGTGTTTCAATTCCATGCCCCGGCACTTTGAGCGTCGAAACGTTAATCTCATCTGCTGATTTTTGCATGCGCTCTTGCATTTCACTGCCGATGTCATGCATGACAGAGCCCAGCTTCTCTTGAAGAACCACGTCTTGGTTCTTGAACTGTTGCGAAACCTGGTTCGCATAGGTTTGAACGCTTTCCAGGACCGTGTCAATTTGACGCTGCTGGTCTGTGGCATACCTGGTGACTTGCTGCGCCATCTTCTCCTCAATCAACTGTGCGATGTTGCTTGTGGCAGCTTTCACGGCCTTTTCCACGACATGTTCGACTGCGGAGAGAAGAACGGACTCATGACCTTGACGCGAGTCCGAAAGCTCGTCGACAAGATTGGAGTACTTGTTCATAGCCTCCCTGAACCTCGCCTGAAACTGTTAAATTGTGAGCTCGCAAGGTGCACACGCTACATAACGTCCCAAACAGCCAACATCTGCTACATGAAGGACAGAAACGAACTCCGAAGTCGTGATGTACTCGTTCAGGAAGCTGATCAAAGAACGGTTGGCATCCTCCAGCTCACTGATGTGGCCCTTCAGCTGCCTGTATGCTGGGGCATGTGAACGTTCACAAATCATGCGCAGCAAGAAGCATTTCTGCGCAAGCCGCCTGACAACGTGGTCATCTGATTTTCTCCATGCTGCAAATTGGGAGCTCCACCCCTCCAGCACCTGTGCCACCACTCCGCTGTCCAAGGCAATGGCAACCTCCTCTCGCACGACCGGTCCTGAGAGACAGGGTGGGCTCATGATGAGACTGCTGCGAGCTACCTTTCGAAGACAAAGACACGGAGATCACTTGCATCTTGGAGAGGCCTTAGATGATGATGAACACCTTTCATTCATGCAACTACGCATCCACAACTAAGATGCTAAGCCTGCTACGACAGGCGCGAACTTGCCCAGGTCCGAGGGGATCGGCGCGAGTCAGCTGCCGGCCCCAAGCCTCTGCCGCGTTCTGCACGCACTGCAGACAGTGCACAGGGGCCAACCTCTTGAGGACCATCAAGCAATAAGCCATGGACCCATGTCGGATGTGGCTGCTGTCCCCACTCTTGATTCGGTCGCCTCCTTTGTTGTCCAGCCGACAAAAAGAGAGACACTCACTGCACATACAGTAAGGTAAGGCTTTAGCTGTGTTCGTTACTGTGGGACTCCCTGCACGAATGCTGTCCTGCGCAGTTTGCAAAGCACATTTGCGCATGCAGCTGTCCGACGAAGTGCAAAGTATAAATACCTAGCCTATGATGTTTCCGGGACGACAACCATCAGAATGGCATCTTGGCCTTTTTTGGCACACGAAAGGATCTATGTTGGCTGCCAGCTCCTGTGTCAGCTTGTGCAGAGTTTCCTGCAGAAACCTGTTCGACCTTTCGGGGGCAGTGCAGCAACAATGAGCAGCATGCTGATCTCGTGGTTTCCTGAGTGCTTGACTGTGGCCGCGCATGGCCAAACCCCGGAGAAGACCATGGATCCATCAGGAGGGATGCTACTGGTCGTGTCTGTACCTGTATCCTGTTCTTGAAGTATGAGTTCCGCCACGTCCAGTCTCAGTGTGTCTGACTGGCACTTTTCTTGCAGTCGCACTGACGCATGACATGTGCCCATGTCATGTGTTGTTCGTTGCCAGCAGATTCTGGGCTAGATCATTGCATAAACAGTTCCCGAAGCCTTGACGAATCGAGCATGCATTCCATGCCCGTTCCAAGCCCCTGACAAAGCGGTGATCTCGGCGGTACCAAGAGGTCGGCCACCATGGCTAGCAAAGCCCTTTTGCTGCAGATTCTATGTTTGGAGCGGTGTCTTGTGAGGAAGCATTCTTAGACACATGAAAATGGTAGGAGCTTATTACAAGTGACAAAGGCCGAGCATCACTGCGGCAAAGGGTTAAGAAACTCAAATTGGTCAGCTGATGTCAAGTGGCTACCCTCCGTTCCATCGATCACTAGAGTGCTAACGCTGAGAACCAGCAATTTTGGGTCATCTGCCACCAAGGCACATGTCAAATCCAAGACAAGTGTAGCAGCAGGGTCTCACGTTGTGGTATCGCTGCAGCAGCCGCTGTAGCTCAAGCTTTCTTGCCTGCTTCTGCTCCTCGCTTTCTAGGCTACAGGGATTTGGTAGTTTCCCAAAATAGGGGGGCCCCAATATAGACCCCAATATATTATAGTCCTTATTATTGGGACCCCCAAAAAGGTACCCCTAATTTTGGGAAACCCCCATTTGCACTTTTCAGAGTCTCAAGGGCGTCGAGTCCTCCCGGCCGGAGACGATGCGCTTCGTCAGGCCGGTCATTTCCAAGGACTGCTTGTGCAGGAATTGCTCCTGTGTTTCCCTAAGTTTGGAAACCCACAAAACAGCCGCTGCTCTGCTGCTATGGCAGTCCTCTAGGCTGCGAATCTTCGTCTCACGCTTGGCGCTCCAAGCTTCTCTCTCCTTTGCCTGCAAGCTGCTGCGCTGCTGGAAACATCTGGAAACCACCAACAAAAATGACTGATCAGCAGCCACGGGGCCAGCCTAACATGCATTCTAATGGCTAGTCAGCCCCTGAACTTCTGAGATGAACACACAATTTGGCATGACCAAACCCGATTCAGCCAACCACGAATCTCTGCTTTGTAGTGGGCACATGCAACAACTTTTGCCAAATTCACTCGAAGCGGAAGGGCCTCTACCACATCAGCTTGTTGCTTCGTTTTCGCAGCCTCGGAGTACCTGAGTTGATCAACTCTTGGTGCTGACCTACGCCGCCCGCGCCTGTGAACAAGTCCAACACTTCTTCATTTTGGCCAAGGTGTCCTGGGCTGTGAGCCGTACTTAGCTAGGCAGATTAATTACAGAACACAAGCCCCTCTTACTAAGCTCCTGAATCTTTCTCAAGTTGAGCAGATCCTTGCTGAACCGCGGATTTCGAGGCTCTGTCTCCATCTCAAACTGCACCAGGGAAAGCAAATCCAACTATTCGCTGCTAGGACCAGGTGGAGATCTCTGCCTTCTTCCGTGCTTCTGCAAACTCTTGGTTGTGCCTTGCAAAGTCTGGAGTGTCATGCTTGGAAGAAGCTTCGTCTCTTCCGAGCCTGTCTTGAAGCTGCGACTGCAGGCTGGCAGCATGAGCTTCAAATTCTGCAACCTCACGGGAAGCTGCATTTAAAGCCTGGCTGAGGGACTCTTGGCGATGCCTTGCATCTTTCCTTAGGCTTTAGAGATTGGGGTTTCAGGATTAGTTTGTTTTTGTGTTTTGCATCGGCCGTTTACGTCTGCACGAGGTTTAGGGGTTAGGGTTTAGGGTTAGGGTTTAGGGTTTTCAATGTCAAGGGTCCAGACCTTCTGATCCCAGTGCTGGTTGAACTCCTGAAGCTCCTTCATGTGCGCCTGACCCCAAGATACCCCAACCACAACATCTGCACACATGCAAAACCTGACACATGGTCGCAGGCAAGAGCAGTGTGCTTGATTTGTCTTGCTCTGCCTCTTCTACTCCCAGGCGCTGTGCGAGCTGCCGCTGTCGCAACGCCTGCGTTGTCGGCTTCGTTTGACTTGCTGTCCGTCGTAAGGCAACTTGCCTCCCTTCTCTTGGCGTCCGCTTTTTCTTGAAGCAACTCCAAGCGCTGCCTGAAGTGGTGAAAGGCTTCTCATGAGTTCAAAATCACTTACACACTGTCGAGGTCAAGGCTTTACTTGCTCAGCATCATCGTACTTGCCCTTGCAGCTTTGCAAGAGGATCGGTGACTGGTGCGAAGCTGCTTCAGCTGCCCTGCCTCGAGCTCGAACTGTCTACGCTGATGGTCAAGTGCCTGGCGGGCCCAGGAGGCTCAGAGACGCCAAGCTTGCAGGACATGGCCTCTGCACATGCATCGAGGTCACCTTCCTCACTGTTAATCACAAATTGGTCAGACGCCTGACGGACGAGTACACGAAGACACTGGAATCCACTGACTATTCTTGTGCTGCCGCAACCGCTCCGCGACCGCTCCTCAGCCATGCGCGTGGCGGCCCTTGCAACGAAGGAAGTTGGGGTGGGCTGAAGCCAGAGTGTTGTAAACAGCCTGATTGAGCTGCAACTGCTGGAACAGCCTGAAGGAAGCAATGGCTACATCGCATAAGGAGACATCAGCATTGAACAAGGACTGCAAAACCCAGCCTGGACAGTACTAAGGTGCACAGCTTCGCGTCAGCAGCTTTGAGCCAATGAGCCACGCTGCTACTGGCCGGAAGCTGGCCTTTAAGACGCGGCCACAGGTTGACTGCCAGCCAACATCATACCAAAACACAGCGCAAAAGCAGATGGACACGTGTGTTGCCGTCAAGTTGTGTGAGACTCGTACTGGAACATCTTGGACACGGTGCCACAGCTTTGCAAATGGGATCTATGTGCGCGGGTTAGTTTGTAAGGCACGTCCAGGTGACGACAACTAGATTCTATGCGTGTGAAACAAGTGAGACCACCTGAGAACAGCTTTTGAGGCTGACTCTGGTGAGATATGAGCCATGCCCTGATGAGGTCAAGCGAGGGACTTCGGTTGATAGGCGGATCAAGGCCGGAAGCCCTCTTCATCCCCATCAAGCGATGCCTGCAGCATGCATCCGAAAGCTCTCTACATCGCAAACGTACCTTGCCATGCAGACGGTTCCTACCTCAGCCGCCTTTTTCACAAGTGCCTCACCAGCAGTGCTCTACAGCCACTCCTCAGCGTTGTCGATGAATCTAAGGTCAGAGCTGCGCAATGCTCGTCGAAGTTCAACATCCCCCGAGCCTGGGGGAGACACATCCAGCAAGCACGAACTGGGAGCCATGCAAGCCCAGACCAGCACTTTCCAAACTACATCCCTTTCCAGGCTCCAGGCGATTCCCAGCATGGCCACAGACACTTCTTCATCCTTCTGATCCGCTCCGGCCTTGGCAACCTGCGCTTCTAAACCATCTTTTTCTGAGAAGCGGAAAGATTGCATAGGAATGGCCCATCACTGCTGGATAAGCGTAGGTTGTCCCAACTTGCACGGCACTCTGGCTAACGGCTAACCCAATGAAGAATCCGTGCATCGGAAACGTTGTCCAAGTGCGAGTCCCAAACCGCTGAGCAAAAGCTACAAGCCTGATGTGTGCTTGATTCTTTTTTGCCTTGCAGTGAGGTTCAAACCCGCATCAGCTGAATTCCAACAGCGTCCAATCTGGCAAAATGTGACCTTGCTCTGTGGTAAGGGTAGCATGCTGGGTACTTCATGATACCAGAGGCTTTGCCGGACCGGATTGCAAGGATAACATACACAGCCTACTCTCTGCAGCCTCATGGCGCAGACTGGTGCTCACCACAAGGTTCAGCAGACAAAAAACATGTCCAAAGACCCAGAAACTTTTGGAGCCAATGGAGCCGGGTTGGGAGCCAGGAGGACTGTTACGTCTCTCACAATGCTCTGACTCTAACAGAATTTGTCGAATTGATTGTGTTTATCCTGTAAGTGTTGCACCGGCAAGCATTAAAGATCTGCTCCGGGTCACAGGAGGAAGCGGTACAGACGCCTGACGCTGAAGATTGGCCCTGGCAGTTGAATCTTTCGAGGATGCACGGCTGACATCGCGGCTGACATTTGTAGATGCTGCCGTGGAGGCACTGCCTGCACTGATGTTGCTAGACATTCGCCGGTAGCCATCTTTGGAGATGCTCTGCTTGCTAGACGATCGCCGCTGGCTCAGGTCCAGCAGTTCTTGCACCGGCTCGTCTATTTCCTTCTCCTCCGGCTCTTCACGCTCTAGCTTCCGCGGCGACTGCGGCACAACCTGATTGACGAAGAGATCTCCTTCATTGGGAGGTCGAAATGACTCAGGATCTGGGATGTCTCTCCATGGGTCTAAGACTTCCGCTGGCTGCCGGCAATTGTCCTCGAATGCCTCGCCAAAGGAGAGTTGCCGAACACGCCTCTCCCGCTCGGACCAAGGCAAGACCTGACGTGAGCGAAGCTTGTCCAAGTCATGCCCATAGCGTCGCAGGTCTTCCTCCGTAACGTGGATGTAGTTCTTGTACTGTGTCCCGTTGTCAGCCATGGAAATGATGTTGGTATTGCTTAGACGCGGCTCGTGGATGGGCGAAGGCATCGAGTCCGGGTCCAGCACCGCGGGCTGAGACTTGCTCTTCCGCGTGCGTTTACCATACTTGCCACCCGGTCGAAAGGACTTGCCGTTGGGCCGCACTGGCTTACCACCTGAGTCCTCAATGGCCACCTGCTGCATTGGCAACGCAGTACCGGCGAATCGCATCGTCCCCAAGGAGCTGCCAACAAATGCGCTGAGTGGGCCTTGCGCCGGAGACGTTTACATGACACGTGCCGAGTAAGAACTCTCCTACAAATGACAAGTGTATGTTGCAATGACGGGCTTTTGCAGATCTCCATGTCGCTGAACGATGCCCTAACCTGCAGAGCCTGCAGCACGCTCATGTCCAAGCAAATGGAAATCATCTGACCGACGTTACTAAATCTGGGAAAAAGGTCAGCAAGTGTCAGCAAAGCAAGGGGAAGTGGGCTCCTCCATCGCCTTTGCGAACTGGTCCGCAGCTTCATCGAAGCGACCATCGGTTGCGTTCACCTCTCAAGAAGGGGGTCGCAAGTGAGAAGCTGACTGCTAAACACCCTGATGTTGGCCTGCCCTAGCCGATGATACGCGCTCTTGCTCACCTCTTTGAGGGTATGCTGCGCAAACCTCAGCTCCATCCGAAAACCGCCATATATATGGTCCTGCGCTCTGCG